CCTACCTCTAGTACTCGCTCGCAGCCCGGAGACATTCGACGGCTTGCTGATTACCATACCTAGATACTCCTGATGTTCCGAAATCAGATTCAGTTTGGCCACTTCTCTTTTGAGCCTGACGTATCTGCCCTATTTCCAATCCTCTGTGGTCTAATTCGACTCTGGAGGCTGGCAGCAAAGGCAAATCCATCTTACTTCGTTCGGTCAGATATCATAACCTCTCCCAACACCCCATTCAGCATCAAGCCACAGGGATTTCCATACTGCCGATAGACTTCCCTGATCGTTTGAAACATAATGTCTGGAACACCATGCTGTGCAAGGCTGCAAAAAGCTCGCCATATAGGTTTGCCACAGGCTGCCACGCACTGCGTCACCTGATTTGCCTTCCCTTCCTCACCGATATGATTCAATTCCATCCGGCAATTGAGGACGCATTTCTGACAGAGATGTTGAATTCCAAAGAAATTTTGAAGGAGGGTAGAGACTCTCGATCTATAGAGGCAGCAAGTCGGCCTTCGGAGCCGAAGGCTAACGCGGACGCGAACTAGAAAGCGAACGCGAAGGCACGAGATGGCAAAGGCAGACATACCTAGACAGCTCACAGCTTGGCCTATTCTCATAGAATGAGCTTGAAGCAGGTCCGCAACAGTCCGATCAAGGCAATGGCTGTGAGCTCCTAGCGCGGTCAGCGACCAGGGCAACGGGGGTTTATCCGCTGCTATTGCAGGCGAAATACTTCCTCATGTGGCCGTACTAAAGGACAACTACTCAAAATGCCTTGCAGCTAACTATTTGTACAAGCCGAGCTCACCAAGTCCCGCACATTTTGTAAGACTGCTCGGCTGCGAATATCATTGTTGAAATCCCAAAAGACGCCCCCGTTGGGAGGTTCTGCTAGGTGCTGTTGATGTGACTTTGGTGAGTTTCAATGGGTCAGCCTTTCACAGCCTCAGTGGGAACCCCTTCCTGTTCATCTTTCGCCGCATCCGGACGCAGGACTTGGCAGGGCCAGCCGAGATCACCATGTTCTCTGAGTGCTCGGTGTGCAAACATGGTTTGTCGGCCGCTTTCCCCAGGGGCCCCCACCTGTTTCGCCCTAGCCTGTCATTATGGTCTTTATCACGCTATTTACACAGCCCTGAGAAGTGCGACCACCCACTTTCCGAGACCCCCGAAAGTCGCGTTCCAGACCACGCCCTATTACCAACGTTAAGATTTCAGACACGGGGTCTTGTGTGACCCTTCGAATCTCTGGCCCTCAGGACCTGCTATCCGATTCCGACCGCCTGGAAATGGGGTCCACGTTCTGTCCTCATGGATTTCTGGCGCAGCCACGTGAGACCAATTCGAAGGAGCCAGTCATCTTGAGATGGCTTTCCCCGAGGTCGGCGCTGTGGCAAATTTCATCGACATGACTATGATCGTCATCATCATAGCCAGCAATGAGTCGAAAGAGTGCTGTGGGAGTATCCGTACTAGTCATAGTACTTGCCAACACAATTCGAATGACAATGTTACGTTGTAAGAACACCAAGATGAAAATCGCCACCCTTGGACAGTCTTGCTCTTTAGATAATTCAAAGATTCACTGGAATGGTGAGTGACATAAGAGGTAGCACCCAATACGAACAAGATTCTTTCTGGGTAGCCTCTTGCCCTTAACCTTTTCCAATCCAGCCAAGATTTTAGTCTGTTTTATCACTTTCCACATATGGTTAAGAGTGTCGGATGAGGTCCCAATGGCCAAGCCGACTCCCGGCGGGCAAAGCTGACATTCAGGTGTGGGCTCCCAGCAGTCTGGAGCCAACGTAACGACCATTTACATACACTATAATTATCACCCTGCAGGTATCGGCCTGCTTTTGGAACCTATCTTGATCAGAAAGCGTCCTATGTCGTGTGAATGAGTTGAGGCAGAGCCAAGATGATGGGTACTCCGCAAGCACTCTTTTCTTCATAAAAATGGAAGCCCTGCATCATGCATCCAGACTAGTACGTGGATGCCCAGATTGCGACCTTCCAGGTTCATGACTCTCGGTCTCTCAGATACCAGTCGGCTTCGGGTTAGGCGCAGGAGCGATGGAAGGAAGCAACTCAATTCGCCGAGATCCCGGGGCGCTGCTTCGGTGAGCTGAGCGGCAGATTGACTTTGCCCGTTTTTGTGCATGAAACAGAGAAAGAGCGACATACCATGCGTAAGACATGTTAGTCTGGATTGCGAAGCAAAGGGATCCAAAGATTCGAGTTCCGTATCCGCGAGTGGACAAAACTAGGTGGGTGGGGGAAGGGGAGGGGGTGTTGGCTTGGATGGATGGATTAGGTATGAACATGAGCAAGACACGGCTGGCAGTCTGTCTAGCCGGTGGGATCAACAAGGCCTAGTGCGGACGCGGCCCGGAGTCATGGTCACCAACGCCCGTAGGCCCGAAGGATCGGCGCAAGGGTTCAAAAGACATATTGCTACGTACCTACATACCTCTTCCAGCGGCAATATCGACTCAACGGTCTTCTTTCTAGATCGTGTCTCAACTGTCAGCCGTCAGATGACCAAGGGACATGCATCATGATTAATGTTACACAGTAAATTCCGAGAGTCGTCTACGGCATGTGACGAATCAGAGACATTTCGTGCCGACTTGATGGTTTCCCACGGAAGAAATCCAAAGGTAAAACCACTTGGGCATTGTCTATTGAGTCCCTCTGTGTATTGCCGAGGCATGTTCTCGGTTCCCCCTTCCTATGGGGCACTACCCATCCATCGAGAGGCGCCTGGCTTGAAATCAGAATACTTAGTGCAAGGTCTCCGGCTCGTTCCACCCAATTAAGAGTCGGCATCAGAAGTTACAAGCGCAGGTGCAACACAAGACATATCAGGTCATTCCACCGTCATTCCTAGAACCGAATCCCTGTCTTCCAGAAGGACTCAGAAGAACGTAATTACGTTACAACCCAAGTCCAAGGGACGCCAGAACCACGCAGCCAATGACCCCTATGACCAAAAGTTCATCCCACTGAGCGCCAAATGATCGAGACGCAGACGATGTAGTTACGGCAGGAGTCTTGCCAGAGCTCGAGGCAGTGGCAGCAGGCGCATTGCCGCCGGAGCCTCCGGCAGGATTGACAGCAGATGAATGCCCTCCGGGGGCGTTGCTAGCTGGAGGCTGCGCCGACGGAGGACTGCCACCAGGCTGGGTGGCAGCAGGCTGGCCAGCGGGACTGCTGCCTCCAGGGACCTGACTGACGGTTTCCTGCGGAAGCTGAGTATTTGGCACCTCATAGTGCTGCGTCGATGCAGGAGAAAATCCTTCCCCAGCTGTGATTGGGGGAATGGCGCAGTTTGAGTTCTCGCAGAGAGAGATTGTCTGCGGCGGTAGTAAGAGAGTGTTGGTGACCATCGAGAGTGTGACGGACACTCCGCACACCTCAAGGAATGGATCGACAACAGGGGGCGCAGCAAGTGCAAGGGGAATAAGACGTAGAACGATGTAAGACTTCATATCGATGATGATGATCAATACTGCCTGAGCTGAATGATGTACGAGTGGCTGCCAAAATTCTTGACTCAACAGCCTTGTCTTTCCGGAAATGAGCTTTTATATATCCCTATGGCCAACTGCGATATCCGATCCGTAGGTAGCGCAAGTGCCATCGTGCCTTTCCAGTGCACACAATGCTTGACTTACCTGACTAGAGAAAGAGTGTGCCTAAAGTGAATCCGAGGAAATCAGCATCACTTCGTCGACGAGGGGGTTTTGCTTCTTCTTTTTGCCCATTTCCAGCTAGTGTGTTGATTATGTGTGGCCATACTGCATGCAGATAGCGTTCAGGTGTCAAAACAGCCTACCCGGTGGAGTTTGCGATCTTTTGACTGGTAGTCCGTCCGCCTTGAGGACTTGTACTTGCTTCCCTTTCCAAGCTCCTCTGGCAAATGTCTGGTTCTGGATAATGGCCAAGTCAGTTCCACTCAGGATAGGGCAATATACTGGAAGATCACGAGCCCCACAGCACAATGACTCTACCATACGAGTTTCGATGTTTGCAGGAAGCAAGCTCGACCTACAGGATCCGTTGCCGAATATCGAAATGTGGGCGACGAGAATCTAGGGCCGCTCGTCTAAACTATGGGCAAAGTTTGTCTGGACGTAAGCTCGAAGCAGCTGCCATCCAACGCTGGGGTTCCGTCTCTGAGGTTTAAGTTGTGGCAATAGCTTCATACTCAGCTGGACAAGGATGTCCGCAAGCAGAACCACCACGCACTGCGATTTAGAGATTTTGGCAGACTTTTCAAATAAGTCTCTATCTCGCCACAAACAGGCAGCAAACGGCATGCGATCTCCGAAAGCTCAGCAACTCATACCTAGCAAGACTACATGTACTTCCTTATTGATAAGCTAGATTTCGGTTCCGCGTCTAGCAAAGACCTTTCGTTTTGTCCTTTTTCTCCGCTACCTCCGCTTGCCATAGTTGAAGCACAGCTACGCTTAGGGTCCTGCTGGACGCAATGAGCCGTAGTCTATCTTCTCGTCATCGTGAAGCGGTCGCTAGAGCTCGCCCTAGTAAAGCCCTGTATGAAAACGATACGAGGTCGAATGGAGTGAATATTAGCAATCGTCCCGGGTTCCCGGGATACCTCTGTCAGTGGTACTGATGATGCTACCTGTTTCCAGCTCAGCCGTCAAGGGTTGAGCTGTTTCTGGATAGAATCCGGGTCTCGTTGAGGTTAGAAACGGAAACCACAGACTTTCACTCAGCTCGGGTGAGAAAGTCGACAAAAGTTTGTTCGCTCCTGGATGTGTTGTGACAAGAATGTCGCGTCTTTCAATATCTTGAAGTTGAATAAAAGTGCATTATAAGAACCTTTGATTTCTCAAGCCCTGGTGCACAACTCAACTAATAATCATCTCATCCATTTTTCTTTCAAAGTTTCTTAAAAGATCTACCTCTGTACCCAGCCATCGTTGCATGCATCGAGCGCCTCATACCAGGTGTCGATCAACATGAAACGAATTTCTGCCCTTGCTACTGCCATGAGCTTCATGGCTCTTCTCCCATGGCCGGGCTTAGCAAGTGCGGATTGCCCAACCACTGGACCAGGTGCGAGTCCTACGACTATTCAGCCCATGGAGATTGTTCACTGCATTCCGCTTCATCTCAGCACTTCAGTTTCGCTGAATACTACATTCACTGTTATGGGCACTCCAGTCAAAGTCACCAACGCTCCTACCTTGGTGACTTCCGACTTCTTGGCTACGACCACGGTCACCTACCTCTCTCCTGTGTAAGTGACAGGCTTTGGATCAATTGAGATGTTTCTGACAAATCATTCGAACGTTTTAGCAATACCCAATCGCCCTACGCAGGTCCTTGCGTCACGGTTACGGCAGCACTGCCTCCCGGATCAAAGCCTTCTACTATTATCATTCCCCCACAAAGTGGACAGGCTACAGGAACCAAGTACATCTGCTCGCCGCTTGAGTCGAATATGCCGTGGTTGCCGGGCCTGGGCAACCCAAACGCCGGCGGCAAGTCTCCATTCATAGGAAGCCTGACGACGGTCACCGCTCCCTACGCGGGCTCGATTATGACGACGTTGACGATTCCCCCTACTGGAAGTGACCAGACAGGCACTGAGCTCATCCTCAAGCCCACGCCCAATAACGGAGATGCCCCTTTCAACGGTCCCTGCACGACAATAACAGTTCCTGGATCCGGCACAGCATTGACAACTTTGACGGTGCCTCCATCGGGATCTGACCGCACTGGCACTCAGATTGTTTGTCTCCCCTCCGCTACTGGAGGTCTGATAACCAGCACGTCAACAGGGACTCAACCCGGCCAGACTGGGTTGATTACCCTTACCCCTGGAAAGCCCGGCGATCCGACTACCATCGTCACGATTGTTCCACCTGGTGGGCGGGTAACTTCTACGTCAACAGGAACTCAGCCTGGCCAGACCGGGTTGATTACCCTCACCCCTGGCAAGCCCGGAGATCCAACTACAATTGTCACAATTGTGCCTCCTCCATCGGGAGGATTGGTTACTTCTACATCTACTGGCACTCAACCTGGACAGACGGGACTACTTACCCTCACCCCTGGAAAACCTGGAGATCCAACTACAATTGTCACAATTGTGCCTCCTCCATCGGGAGGATTGGTTACTTCTACATCTACTGGCACTCAACCTGGACAGACGGGACTACTGACCCTTCCCCCTGGAAAGCCCGGCGATCCAACCACGATTGTTACTATCGTACCTCCTCCGTCAGGCGGATTAGTAACATCTACATCGACCGGAACCCAGCCAGGTCAAACTGGATTACTGACTCTGACGCCTGGCAAGCCTGGAGATCCAACTACAATCGTTACTATCGTACCTCCTCCCACGGGAGGATTAGTAACATCTACGTCGACGGGTACTCGCCCAGGTCAGACCGGATTACTGACTCTGACGCCCGGCAAGCCTGGAGATCCTACAACGGTCGTTACCATTGTGCCGCCACCTAGCGGCGGGGTAGTTACTATTACTTCAACAGGAACCCAACCTGGGCAAACTGGTCTTCTCACTCAGACGCCTGGCCGCCCTGGCGACCCAACGACAATCATCACGATTGTTCCCCCTCCTACCGGTGGACTTGTCACGATTACTTCAACGGGGACCCAACCTGGGCAAACTGGTCTTCTCACTCAGACGCCTGGCCGCCCTGGCGACCCAACGACAATCATCACGATTGTCCCCCCTCCTACCGGTGGACTTGTCACGATTACTTCAACGGGGACCCAACCTGGGCAAACTGGTCTTCTCACTCAGACGCCTGGCCGCCCTGGCGACCCAACGACAATCATCACGATTGTCCCCCCTCCTACCGGCGGGTTAGTCACCTCAACCTCAACCGGAACTCAACCCGGCCAGACTGGTCTTTTAACACTAACCCCCGGTCGTCCCGGCGATCCTATAACAGTCGTTACTATCGTGCCACCTTCGTCGGGCGGAGTAACGACTGTCACATCTACTGGCACTCAGACTGGCCTGACGACTCTAACACCCGGTCGACCCGGCGATCCAACTACTGTCGTTACTTTCGTTCCAAGTCCTACTGGCGGCATCGTCACGGTCACTTCCACAGGGTCGACCACTGGCCTCGTTACTCAGACACCCGGGCGACCCGGTGATCCAACTACGGTCGTGACCATTGTGACGCCTCCTGCCGGTGGGCTAACGACTGTCACCTCCACAGGCTCGACGACTGGCCTGACGACTCTAACACCCGGTCGACCCGGCGATCCAACTACTGTCGTTACTTTCGTTCCAAGTCCTACTGGTGGCCTTGTCACAGTCACTTCCACAGGGTCGACCACTGGCCTCGTTACTCAGACACCCGGGCGACCCGGTGATCCAACCACAGTCGTGACCTTTGTAACGCCTCCCGCCGGCGGATTAACCACTGTCACCTCCACAGGCTCGACAACTGGGTTGACCACTTTGACGCCCGGACGGCCTGGAGATCCGACGACGGTCGTGACTATTGTTCCCTCTCCTCTCGGCAGTATCGTCACGGTTACTTCTACAAGATCAGCCACAGGCCTCACTACTCAGACACCCGGGCGCCCTGGTGATCCTACTACTGTTGTAACTTTTGTTACGCCTCCTGCTGGGGGACTGACTACAGTTACCTCGACGGGATCGCAGACTGGTCTCACGACCCTGACGCCTGGAAGACCTGGAGATCCTACTACGGTAGTGACTATTGCGACTGGCCCTCCTCCTGTGACAGTCACCTCGACAGCCTCTACCACTGGTTTAACTACCCTCACACCCGGAAGGCCTGGAGACCCTACTACAGTCGTCACTTTCGTTACTGGTCCTCCTTACGTCACGATCACTTCAACAGGCTCGACGACTGGTCTTACCACCTTGACTCCTGGAAGACCTGGAGATCCTACTACTGTAGTGACTATTGCGACTGGCCCTCCTCCTGTGACAGTCACCTCGACAGCCTCTACCACTGGTTTAACTACCCTCACACCCGGAAGGCCTGGAGACCCTACTACAGTCGTCACTTTCGTTACTGGTCCTCCTTACGTCACGGTTACTTCAACTGGTTCAACGACTGGTCTCACGACCTTGACGCCTGGAAGGCCTGGAGATCCTACTACTGTAGTGACTATTGCGACTGGCCCTCCTCTAGTGACAGTCACCTCGATAGGCTCAACGACTGGTCTGACCACGCTGACTCCCAGAAGTCCTAGAGACCCTACTACAGTCGTCACTTTCGTTACTGGTCCTCCTTACGTCACGGTTACTTCAACTGGTTCAACGACTGGTCTCACGACCTTGACGCCTGGAAGGCCTGGAGATCCTACTACTGTAGTGACTATTGCGACTGGCCCTCCTCTAGTGACAGTCACCTCGATAGGCTCAACGACTGGTCTGACCACGCTGACTCCCAGAAGTCCTAGAGACCCTACTACAGTCGTCACTTTCGTTACTGGTCCTCCATTCGTCACGGTTACTTCAACTGGTTCAACGACTGGTCTCACGACCTTAACGCCTGGAAGACCTGGAGACCCGACTACCGTAGTTACGATCGTAACCAGCCCGCCCCCCGTTACGATAACCTCTACTGGCACGACTACAGGTGTCACCACGGTTCCTGGAGGTCCTGGGGGCCCAGCTACAGTTATTACATTTGTTCCCAGGGGGTTCCTGGTTACACTCACCTCTACCGGAACCACAACTGGGCTTACGACGATTATCCCCACTGATCCAGTTGGCGGCACTACCAGCGTAATCACATTCGTCACCCTGCCAGCCCCGGTAACTGTCACGTCTACGGGTAGTACGACGGGTCTCACCACGATTCCTCCAGGTCCAAGTGGAGGCCCTCCCACTGTCGTTACATTTGCGACCTCTACAGCAAGCCCTATTTCACCGGTCACCGTCACATCAACGGCATCAACCACTGGCTTGACTACCCTGCCCCCTGGTCCCAGCGGTGGTCCTTCGACTGTCGTCACTTTTGTCACCCCCTCTGCGAGTTCTCTCCCACCTGTGACGGTTACATCTACAGCCTCAACCACTGGTCTGACAACTCTGCCTCCTGGGCCAAGCGGCGGTCCCTCGACGGTTGTGACCTATGTGACACCTCCAGCGAGTCCTCTTTCTCCCGTGACCGTTACATCGACGGGGTCGACCACAGGCTTGACAACTCTGCCTCCTGGGCCAAGTGGTGGCCCGTCCACTGTGGTCACATTCGTTCCGCGTATTACTGGCTTCTTGATCACTCTCACATCCACGGCCAGCCAGACGGGACTCACCACTATCGTCCCGACGGATCCAGCCGGCACTACCAGTATTATCACATTTGTCACGCCTTCTGCACCTCTTACGCCCGTCACTGTGACTTCAACTGGAACCGGTACTGGCCTGACCACCCTTCCTCCCGGCCCCAGTGGCGGTCCGTCTACCGTAGTCACATTTGTCCCATCTCCCACCGGTGGCTTGACAACGGTCACATCGACGGGCTCGCAGACAGGCCTTACCACCATAACTCCAACTGACCCGGCCGGTACTACGAGCGTCATAACATTCGTCACGCCCAGCGCTCCCCTTACGCCAGTCACAGTTACGTCAACGGCATCCACCACTGGCTTGACCACTCTTCCTCCTGGTCCCAGCGGCGGCCCTTCAACTGTCGTCACTTTTGTCACTTCCTCTACTCCTCTTACGCCGGTTACTGTCACGTCAACGGCGTCAACCACCGGTCTGACAACCATCCCTCCAGGCCCCAGCGGTGGCCCTTCAACTGTCGTCACTTTTGTCCAGACTCCCACTGGCTTCATCACAACGGTCGTATCAACAGGCACCCAGACCGGTGTGACAACTTTGCCTCAAACCAACCCGACCGGCACGACTACTGTCATCTCTTTTGTGCCTCCGGTCACTGGCGGACTTATCACTCTTACGTCAACTGGCACGCAGACAGGCGTCACTACTCTGCCTCAAACGGATCCTGCCGGAACAACGACTGTGATTACCTTCGTGCCCCCGATCACTGGCTTCCTTACAACAGTTGTTTCGACCGGCACGCAAACTGGACTGACTACAATCACGCCAACTGGATTAGGCGGCACAACAAGTGTCGTCACCTTTGTGACTCCCTCGGCAAGCCCTATTCCACCAGTAACCGTCACTTCAACTAGATCATCAACCGGATTAACGACCCTTGCCCCTGGTCCCAGCGGTGGTCCTACTACTGTTGTGACTTTTGTTACACCTGTTCTTACTACAGTCACCATAACTTCGACCGGCACTACGACAGGACTTACAACAATTCCACAGGTCGGAACTGTGCCAGGCACCGTTATCACCATCGCTTGCCGTGCTGTAACACAAACGCAAACAGTCTCGGCCAGTGGATCCTCGGGCACTCAAGCTTCATTTGTTGTTCCTGCGTGCGCACGAACCGCGCAATTCAGGATCAAAGGCGGTGATGGTGGTGAAGGTGGTCGACAATCAGGAGTTGGTGAACTCATTTCTGGGAGTTTCGCCGTCACACCCGGTCAGACATATGCTCTCATTGCAGGCGGCGCCGGGGGTACAAATATCCAGGGAACCAGTGCATATGGTAACGGCGGTACAGCGACCACCGGTGGTGGTGGAGGTGGTGGAGCGTCTGCAATCCTTCTTGGGGGTGCGGAGGTTGTCGTCGCTGGCGGAGGAGGTGGCGGGGATATATCTTATAGTGTATTTCCCACTGATGGACGACCAAACACAGTCCACATCACCTCGGATGACAATAGAGGTCACGGCGGCTCTCCAGGACAAGAAGGCGTTGGCAGATATACAGTCGACCAGGCGAATGATGGTACCAGTGGCTATTACAACGTTGCCCGAGGTGGAGGTGGGGCTACAGCAAGTGGGCCAGGCGCTGCTGGAACAATCAGTGGTTACTCGGATTCCTCAGCGAACGGCAATCCTGGATCTGGTCACAACGGTGGCGCAGGTATTGCTTCTCGAAACTCAGGGTCTGGTGGGAGTGGAGGATCTGGGGCCGGCGGCGGTGGCTACTATGGTGGTGGCAGTGGAAGCGTCTTGGACTGGTCTTATGGTACCAGTCGCGTTACATTTGGCGGTGGTGGCGGTGGTGGCTCCAGCTTCGTCCGATCCGGTGTTACTGTCAGTAGCCGGAGCATTACGGGTGGTACCGGAAGTGTTGAGATTGTCTTCACTTCTTAAGTTCCACCAAAGGAGGTATTGATATTGCGCATTATAGAATGGGAAGATTGTCATTTCCTTTGTGTTTCTCAAATGTAGAATCAGTTCTTAGTCAGTAGTCATACGAGCTTAAGTGAGCCAAAAATTAGTCCCGAACGGTGACAATGTGTGTTTTAGACGTTGTGAATGATGCGTGTATGGAGAACACTACGGATTAGAACGATATCTCACGGGCGATTCAGCCATATTATGAGCGTATCTCTTAGAAGAACAGTGAGCAGTGGCGCTTTGGATAAATACGGCGAGTTTTGTGCCGAATTAAAGCGGCTAATATCCGTACTCCGTAAGCCATATACTATCAGGGCTAGTGGTGGTGGCGGTGGTCAGGGGGATATTCATACTCTAAGTAGTGGTCAAACAACGCCGAAGTGGTTTCCTTTTGTTTCGACGTATTCCCCCTTTCATTCTCTCATTCACTTACGCGGTACATGCTTGTATGCGTCTTGTTTTCGTTTGTCAGGGTGCATACAGCACTCAATTAGGACATTGCTTCCTTTCCAACTTCATGCTACTCTGAGATGTCCTAACATTGCTACGCTACCGCATATGTAGAGGATATTTCCACAAATGGAAAACCCTTGGCTTCCCATTTGAAGCTTGCGCTCCTGTAATTAAAAGGCTTCCTTCCATTTTGGAAACGAAACCAGGCCGCAAAGTCTTACAGCTCAATAACTTGCCATTTCTCCGCTTACCGGCTATGCGGCGGGCGAGCGGGATCTTGTATGGTTGGCACGGACGCCGTTAGGACAGGAAGGACAACCAAACGAAAAAAAGCGCGAATGGTCGCCGCGAGCCGCTCTCTCTACCGAACGTGCACCGGGGAACCACGCCAATACTTTGACACTAGACTAGCATCCGCAACGGGTCCTGCTGCAAGAAAACCGTTGAAAACTGTGCGTCATCGGCGAATTGCAGACAATGAATGGCAGGCAACGCCTTGGAGGTTCTGTTTCGATCATCGATCTCCTGCGTGAACGACCTAGGCGACTGACCGTCGGGTCTGACCCACGATATGCATAATACAGGTGGACCGAGGAGAATAGAGGAACTTCGGCTGTTTTTGGCGCTAACAGCGTTTTTCATTATCACCAGCGGAGGTGGCCCTGGAGGGCTTTCCCATCAAGATAAATTGACTACCTTATCTGTTGTCTTTCGTGAATACTGACCAGATGGCCGACGAGAATATGATATGTGGGTATTGGCGAAGGTGATATCAGAATACTAAACTTTCCATCGGCAAATCATCCGCATCGCAGAGTGCTGTGTGCGACTTCGGCTACGACCATCTAGCCATGTGGCGATATTGTGGCTTTCTTCTCCTGAGCTCTCACAAATGAACCAACTGGCATTTCCCCGTGGGTTATTGGATACAGATGCGAGTAAGACACAGGTTGTCTACTCCAGAACCCCAGTGATTCTCTTCAGGCCCCAATTAAGAAACTCCATAGGGAGTTCTGGGGGTCGGACCCTCTGTGAGGGGCTCAGAGGAGCAAGATAAATAGTGGCGAGTCAGACGGTTGCATTGTACTGCATCTAGTCCGGTTTTGTCGTATGATGGAGGAATCTCAGTCATTGTCAACCCGGCGTTGAACCCGCGATGTTGTACAAGGCGGTGAAGATGGCGTACGATTTGACATCAGGGATCGAGGTATTGAATCGGCTCGATCATCATCGTCGAGTTTGCAGAATGTGCTCAATCTGAAAACATGAAATCTCTGGACCAGTCTCAACCAGAGCGCCATGTGAGACAATTAGTTGTAGCATTACGCTCTTGATAGCAGTCGAGATACGCACACTCTGATTCCCCCGAGCCATAAGATACCATCCGCTTTCTGCACTTGCATCTTTCGATAAGTAAATAGAAAGGCATAACCATTTCCGTTTGTGTAGCTGCTGTACCTGTTCCTGTGCCCATTTCCCAGATAGACCACTTTCATGAAACTCCGTCTCATCCGTTTCCTGAACCCGCCCCGAGAACCCTTTTCAACCTCTGTAAAAGCAATAAGGTCAAGACGTTAGTAGTAGCATGTGGTGACCTCATTTTTTGAACTCCAGATCGCCCGTAGTAAACCGCTCGAACTTGACCCTGTTGGGATCGACACCCTGGTTAATGAGGAATTGTGACATCTCGACCATGAAAATCTCAGGACCGCAGATATAGTACTCTGCACCACCATGACTGAGGTAGAGCTCTTCGGGCGCTATCCGTGCAAGGTCCATGCGGAGGCCAAAGTCGCTAGAGGAGGAGAGGGAGTCGTCATCTTCAACATCGGCGATCTGGGAGCGAAAGAACTTGGTGATGAAGTTGGCGCGGCTGTAAGCGATCTTGCGGATATGCTCCTCAAAGGGAGCTGCCCGGGCCGAGCAGTGAATCCATGAGATAGGGCGGATAGCCTGGCGTTCGATGATGGTGTTGCAGATGGACATGAGAGGCGTGACGCCGACGCCGGCGGAGATGAGAACGACGGGAAGAGTGCCGGCGGCGTGGGTGTCAAAGAAGAAGTCGCCAGTAGGATGCGTCAGCTCGACAATGTCGCCCGGTCTCTTCTCATCGATGAGATGATTGGAAAAGACACCAGGGTTGAGGTTGAAGGTGGCGGCTCCCTTGCCGACCTTGACGCCCTGGTCACGCTTGACGGTAATGCGGTAGTAATCCGGTCGTGGTGAGTCACTAAGCGAGTATTGTCGTGACTGATAGTGGCCGAGCTCGGGGATTGTGACGCGGATCGAGGTGTATTGACCTGGGTAGAAGTCAGGTAGCCGTTTGCCGTCGACAGGCACCATGTAGAAGGAGAAGATGTCGTCCGTTTCAGCAACCTTTCTTTCGATGCGGAACTTGCGCCATCCCTTCCACTTGTCATCATCGAACTCGCGATACATCTGGGCCTCGCGGCCGATGAGCATCTTTGCGAGGATCCAGTAGGCCTTTGTCCAGGCTTCGCGGATCTCTGGGGTCATGGCAGGACCCAGAACCTGTCCAAAGGCTTGGATGAGGTACTTTCCCACGATGTCATAGTGTTCCGGTAGAATTCCAAGGGAGCAGTGCTTGTTGCACATGCGCTCCAGCTTGGGGATGAGCTCGCTGATGTGGTTGAGGTTTGCGGCGAAGGAAAGGATGACGCCGGTCAAGGCACGGGGCTGGCGGCCGTTGGCCTGGTTGACCTTGTTGAAGTGGTCATGAAGCTCAGGATGAGCCCGCAGCATGTTGGCATAAAATATGGTCGTGATGGTCTCGCCATGCTCACGGAGAGCCGGGATCGTACCCCTGACGAGCTGTGATTGCTTGTATGTCAAAGCCATGGTTGTGATGGTTCTGCACGGAAAATTTGCTGTTTAGCTTCGGATTGAGAATACTATTCTGTAGTCCTTGACTGATGGCAGATAGTAACTTGGTTGCCAAAAATGGGAAACCTCACGGTTCTCAAGTAGATACTTCTCGTGCCCAGATACAGGGTCAAGGATGGATATCTAGGGGCAGACCAGAACGGGGATAAATGTTAAAGGGGGTATCAACAGAAATGCACAAACGCTACGGAGAAGTGGGTAAACGTCTGCGTGATAGAAGGAGAGCCGGATCCAAAGGTTTGGGAACACAAATGCAGACGTCTTTCTCGCCGCCGGGTTCGGGCCTCGGAGGAAAGATATAGAATCTTTCAACTCCAGCCCAAGATGCCTTCGTATACCCCGTAGAACCACTCCGATAGACACAAAGCTCAATCCTGTCTCACCCCTCCCCCTCGTCGTGCTCCATCATCGCGTGCGCTCGAGTCTTCGCGGTCTGCATGCTTCGAATCAGGCACCGCCCGTCTCGACGGATAGACATCGTATGATTTGTATGCCGTAGTGTAAAAAGAAAGCTGGTTCCTCATTTGAACACGGCTCTCATGGGCCACAGATGCATGGATTCAAGGGTGGGAGGCCCATAGAGGAAGACACTGGGCGCCGTTAATGGTTAATCCAAGGAACAGCACCAATGGTAGCTAGTCGTTCGCGATGAACCGAGGAGCGGTTCAAAGTCAGCCCTGTCCATCGCCGGGTGGTACAAGACCGGGAAATCAGGGATACCAGGATCTCATAGGCACTAGGGAGACACCGGCAGGGGTATCAACTGGACCCTGAGGGTGACCCGAAGCCTCTCCAGTGGGACACCGCCCGTGAGCTGCCGAGCAAACCGAAGTAACCAGGAGCTCCGGGGGGTCTTCTAGAAGTACATAGTACGCTAAGAGGCGGGTTTGTGGTAGATATTCCGCACAACTTTTGCTGCATGCAGTGCGAGCTGCCTCGAGGGAAACAAACTGGAGGTCTCAAGCAGTACTCCGTAGCTTTGCAGAGTGGTGATTGAGGATCTCGTGGAGACAGGTACGCTGTCTTTTTACCCAGTCTGTCAGATGTAACCGGGCGCACGGAATAGCCCAAATCCTTCTCTTCACAGAGGCTGGAGCAAGGCAGACGGGAAACCTGAGCATGCGGACAGAACCCCCCCGGCTGCGATGGAGGCGGCGGTTGGAGGTGACTCTGGGTTTGCAGTCCTCTAGCTCGTCCCTTGTTCCTAACAGACGTCAGCGACACGCGATGTACAGTGGAGTAGAGAACACGCCACAGCAAGGAATTGCCGAGTTGCAATTGCAAACTCGTATGATGAGATTTGCGGTTTCTGGAATGCCTAATTGAGGGTCCACGGGGCTTCGCCCAATGGTCTCAATATTGATCCTTGGAAGTACTTTGATGCCATGCAAAGGCTTTGCTTGGGGGGACAGCGAGGAGTGAGAGAAAGACAGAGGGAGAAAACGGGGGAAACAGAGGCGACAAGGGGTTGAGCGGCACATAACCACAAACACTGTGACGCTTCTCCAGTTTACCCAGGAGCACTTTTTCACTTCCCGATTCCCCTGGAGGGGGGGAACAACGTCCGTGTGTCATGGACGGCTTTTTGTTCGGCTTTCTGCCCACTCTGTTGGAGCGCCGGGGGGGGGGGGGTTGTATTTAATACCGTTCGTCGTCTGTTGGGTCTCACAAGTTACGCTCAAATCTCAACGCGAATTCCCATTACGACGTCGGAAAGAAAACTGAGTTTTGCCAACTGATACAATATCTATTGGTGGAGTTGCAATCATACTACGTATACCCTTTCTTCGTCAAGTTTCAACTTGAGCCGGAAAGGATTGAGTGGAGTTGTCTTATTTTGCTACTCGCACTGGCCAGTTCGGCTACGGTGAGACACAGCACTGCGTGCTCGAACGGGGTGGTTCCTTCGCTTGTGACTGGAATCTGCAGCGCATATGTACGGATGTGCTCGATGAAAAAGTCTGCTGAATGGAACATCTGCCAGGGCTTCTGATCCGTCTTCCATCCCGGCCGGAGGATCCGCACATGTCACGATTGTAGAAGCTTACTCACTGCATGTCGTCACGCCACGATCTCCCAGCCTCATCTTGTTCATCTTCTCTCTTAGGGTAAATGGTGTTGAGACGGAAGCGCCATCGCGTGTCGACACTGTCCGTAGTCGGGATTCCCCGGGCTCTGGCGGCACGAAGCTCATCAACAACCCCGAACCACCCCGCATACAACCCTTGACAGTGGCCTGCTTCTCGAGCCTCGAAGCGGAAACCGTTAGCGGATCAGAGTCTTTCCATACGCAATTGTCAGATTGTCAATGTGACCTCCACCTACAGGTATCCGTAGTATGTACTTCGTAGAGCCCACCCACTGGGCCCGTCAGTGATGTGATGAAGATCTCTTAAGATCTCGATGGACCAACAGAAGACTATACAGTAAAGTAGGGGGCCAAAAGGCCCTCGCGAATTTCCAAGGTGCCCGCCTCTTGTCATTTGTGACAGGTGGCAAATTACAATGCAAACATTGCAATATGAATCTCTCCACGCGGCGGCCGCAAACATGCCGCTTGAAGCTGTTAAACACCGAGGAGATGATCGCACTGGTGGTCGGCGGATGACCGAAGCGCAATTTCAAATGCAGGCGCCAATTCTCACATAGAATTTTGAGCCTACCCGCCCAGCGTACCTAGGTGACCAGCGGATTGATAGATCCCACTTCCCCTCCGTCCGGGTTGATAAATAGACCGAGGCGTAACGAAATGGAATGTGATATGTCATTTCGCCAAGGGATTTGTCCCCCAAGTTCCATAGGGAGGAGGAGAAAATGTTTGCTGCTCTTATTGATTTTCTTCGACGCCACCAAAGGAAACCAGACCCTCAACTTGCGGCGCTCTTCGATATTGTGGCGGCCGTTTCATTTGCTTCTGCGCGTCCCAAAAGTGAGACCTGATGCAATGCAGGTGTGACCATGGCTTTTGGTTCGATTTTGGGTCCTCACGAAGACAATTGCATGAAATCTCCGGGGGGTCCAGTTCCAACCTGCGAGATGCATCACACGAGCCAGGTGCTCGACACCACATGCTGACAAGCAAACATCGTTCCAGGCCCTGTCTAAGCAAAAAAAACATGCCTGTTCTGTTGCTGCTCTCGCACATTTTCAGTCTGGGAAGAAGAAATGTTTCGCCCGTTTGCCAATTTGTAATTGACAAGCAAACATCAAGTTCGTCCGGTCTAGAGCTGCTTGGACTTCCGCAACCTTCAACACCACACGCGCTTTCCACGAGCCACATGGCACCCACGAGTACGACATGATGCAACTTTAGAGAAGAAAGGAGATGCCAGCACGGCTTCTTCCCCGGCCAAGTCACCAACGGGCTGCACCCGACCAAATTGGGCTTACCTGAACCTAGCTAATGACGGGCGGGTAAAACTTTGACACTTTCAAAGCCGACGGCGTCGAAAATCTCTTTGAATCCGCTACGCCCTTGCCCATGACAGTTAGCTCCCAGCAGTAATAACTAACGAAAGATGTTTGCTTGCCAGGTGCGCCGGCCTCCCGCTCATCGCGCATCAATGCGAAATTTCAGCCGGTGGCCCGTTGCGCATCTGCCCGGAAGCTCCAGTCGCTACATGGCCTCCACAATTTCGGCGACCAAGCACACTTGGCAAGTGGCTTGGGGCTTGTCATCACCGTTATTAGCCTATCTCTAAGACCCATATGCGTCTGACACAGTGCTTTCGACGTTGCATTCAATACGGATGAGGGCCTGCGTATGGCGGGGCGGGCATTGTAGCGAACACGGCATCTAGTCTTTTGCAGGTCAAGATGTGACTGACAGTCCAAACGCTTTGGCGATGATAGATTACTGATCATGGCGACTGACTTGGACTTGGAAATCACATACACGCCGATCCAAGGCATAGTCAGGACACGAAAGTAACGAATCCGTATCCAACTACACCAATGGCGATTCGCGATCTCGTTGGTCGGCTATCGCTCAAAGCAACTTGCGAAACCATCTCCTAGTATTTCCTCATCCTTAAGCGAGGCAAGATGTCGAGCAACATACTGTATACGCAGGCTTGCGGAGTCCGTATATGCATCGTATCGCAAATGATGCTTAGGGTCCAGATTTACTGCCACTTCGACCCAACATCTCGTACGAGGCATGATAATCCAGCGCATCTACTAAAGGGTCGGGCCGTTGACCTCGAATGAGCTACCACTTCCGATAGACTGAGATGACTTTTCTGTGAACACGAGTTGTCGAGGATGGAGTCTCCGCTGCGGTGTAGAACAAACCCCGAGGCTACTGTGCGGATGTGGGTATCGGCCATTCTTCACAAACATTGCCAATGGGCGTCATATGTGAAACTGAATTCTTCAGAACCCATCTTGCATACGATGACGCTACCAATTGCCATGGAGTCGGCGAAGTGATTGCGGCTCTTAAGATGTAGCTTATGTACTGTATGCATGACTGCATGACTGCATTCAAATGGGTAGTAAGCTTGTACTCCGTAGTGGATCTTGATATACTGCTAGTCAAGATATCCAGTCAACGCGAGGAACTGGTCAAAACGCGTGTCTGTGTATCGCTAATAATAGTGTACCTGGAATGAGGTGACATGAAGCCTCCGCCACCTGGCTGATTTTCACAAGACAGCCGTAAGTATTTCATACCAGGCATGACGTTTGAAGCTACATGGGGTCTGTCGGTCCCATCAATCCCTCTGGTACCATCCATAACGTCAATGTCTCACTTGCACGACAGATATGACATACCTAGTTCGGTTACGAAGCGGGCGCGGAGGCTCCAAAGCCCCGCCAATTTGACGAGTTCAGTAGCTCAGGTTAGGTGATATCTGGATTGAGAACCCAAGTCAATCACACATTTCCTTATAGTTTGATGCACACCATACTCCTCGGACAAGGAGTCCGATCTATCAAAGAGACGCATCGTCAGATGAGCTAGGTACTGCAACCAGAGCCCACGTGTTATTGAGTGGCTTGCACGCCCGGCGTGAGATGTGGAGCCAGGACTACTTATGATTACGATTGCATGCATAATCTTCTGCGGCAGCTATGAGAATTGTCTCTGGGTAAGGTATGAAAGCCTCTTTGTGATGCCGGTAATTTAAGCCGTCCATGCGAGTGAGTTATTTGCATCACCCGTGATGAATGGAATTTGACGGTCGGTTCATATATAAGTAAGTCCTCGTCTCCAGAACGACCACGAGGATGTACGTGAGCAGAATGAGATCAAGCTTCTGCAAAACGTCGGCTAAAACAGAAATGACAAGGTGCTCGAGAACGTCATCTAATTAATCCATGTTGCTGAAGCAAGACAATTGGATATTCGGAGGCAAGCCACTATGACTGAGGTGGGAAAAGTAACATTGGACAGATCGAGCGTGGGGGCGTCTTTCGGCATACCTAAATCTTAATAAGATTTCAACTAGACTTCAATCAGGTATTGCATCCATCAGGTTAATGATTGTGTGGTGAGCTCAGCGCTCGTCATGCTGTTCTTGGCTTTTCTATTAATTGACTGGATGCTTGGACCGACGATGCTATGCTTGAAGTTAATGAGACTTGATTAGCACCGGAATGCACATCGACCGATCTGGAAGGAATTCTCCCCACTTCCAATATCCAAGAATACGGGAAGTCAACCAGCCACGCGACAGTCGTGGGGTTGTTTGATGCATTTGGCTGGCGGCATCGGCAGTCGACGAGGTCCCTGCAGTATCTTTGACGTCCTCTGTTCCAAATCAGGCCCCGATGAGTGACCGAGTGCCTGTTTGGGCAATGGAGACATGCAGCTTGTAGTTGGATTAACCAGATCCGATCTGGAGGAACGTTTGGGCACATTCCATGACTCCATGGCGTCATCGATTCATAGATAGCAGCAACGTTGCTACGGACGCATGGTTCATGCACAAGACAGACTCGCTATTGAGGAAACTCGCCGGTCAAAGACTGAAGCGAAAACTCACGTCATTAAGATACAAGTGAGCTCGGGAAATCAAAATTGACCGTGAAGCACTAAAGCACTACACAGTAAAGCCGCCTGATGTGGCCTGTTTCTTCTTCATCGAGGCTAGGTATCCGCATCTGGATGAGAAATTATGTGTAAGGCAGTACAGCATATGAGCTAGACCCAAAGCCACAGATGCGTGAGGGCCTCTGGGTGAGAAGATGGAAATTCTGCCCCGCGCAATAAGCAT